TTTTTTTTTTTTTTAACTCAAAGGTCTGCCTACAGGTGGATTTTTGTTGTTGTTGAATGAAGTTAGGCACAGAGGTAAGAAAGATAAGGAAAATAACGTAGTTACTCTGATATTTGTTTTCTTTATCTGTAGAATGAAAAGATTGGAATTGTTGAGTTCTAAATTCCCTTTAGCTGAAATATACTCTCAATATTTATAATAGGATAGTAATATGGTACAAATGGCTTTGAAGATTGATTTTATTGTATAATGTGGATGTAATTGTAAGAGAGGAAAATTGATTGGAGGCTGTTAAAAGTCATCCAGGTTTGATATAATAAAAATGTAAAAATATAGTGATGACAGAAAGTCAGAAATATCTAGATTGAATTAGATTGATAAGGGGAAGAAGAGAGGAATTTTTTAAACGAGTCACTTATTCATCCAACAAGTTATTTAATCTAAGTTTTATTACACATTAAAAAATACTGCTCACCGAATGAGTATGAAGGTTGAATGTAGTAATGTATATAAAGCTTCCAACAGCGTGCCTAACATAGTGAACATACACGTTTTCATTTTCTTTTGTTGCATACAGTTTGCCAGACCATATGGTTTGCATATGGTGCCTCTCGTCTTTTAAGTAGGTTTTACTTAAGTAGGTTTTATTTTAGTGCAATGACAAATCTGAAGACACTGAAAGACCGATCATTTGTTCTCTTTCAAATGCATGACCCAAACAATATTTAGATATTACCTACATGAATTTCCCATCCTCTGTCCAACTTCAGCCAGAATGGTGGCCCATAGCTGGCATTGATAGTTTTAGTGATCAAAGACAGGGTAGGGTGGGTAGACTGCAGAGCGATAGCAAAGCCTAAAGTTGAGCCTTTGAAGGGGAATTTCTAGTTTTTTCCTAAAAGATTATTCCAGTCCTCTTCAAGTACTCCTTTTGAAGCAGAGATTACAAATTGATGATGAAATATAATCTCTGCCCATGGTAAGATACCATTAGGATTCTCCGTTGTATTATTTGGGAATACAAAGGTTATGTGTCTCTGTAAACACATACATGAGACATAGATACAAAAGGGCCAAAGAGCAGAATTCCCAAGCAAAGGGTCTTCCAGCAGAGATTTTGCATCTCTGCTGTGTTATTTTTAATTTTTTCCTCAATACATATATGTAACTATTTCACCAGTACTGCTTGTGTCTTTGGTTGGCTCATCATTCTTATGTTTAAACTATAATTTATCTGTCCCTAGGTAAACTTTAAAGGGCAATCAGAAGAGAAATATATGTTGTATTTTCTTTGTTAGAGGGTATGCCTATCTAGGACCAGCTAGTTTCTTTCTTTTACTTGAATGTCTGCAGTTTGTGGATCTTTTAGTTGTGTGAGCTGTCTAGAGTTGATTGAGAGGAAAAAAAGCAACCCAGACTCTTCTGCTTGAGTCATAAGTAGGTGAGAAGAAGTATAGTATAGTGTCTGAGAGCCTGGGCTCTGGCATCTTCATACTTATTGTATGTAGAGATGAGGGTGTCCGTAGATTTGGTTGTAAGACCACCATCTTAGGTTGATATCACCGGAGACCTTCTGATCTCCTGATTTTCTTTCCAGACCCAGAATCAAGTTTGTAGCATATTTTTGTTATTGAAGTGAGGAACCATTTTTCCCCTTTTGATCTTGTTCATAAGCCATGCTTATAATTCTAGAATATTTATTAGGATATCCTTTATGCAATCCTGAATTCAAGTGTTTTAGTAAGGTTTTTTAAGAGTTTTTTATTTCTTTATTTTGAGAGGGAGAGAGAGAGAGAGAGGGAGAGAGAGAGAGAGAGAGAGAGAGAGTGCATGCAAGTGGGGGGGGGGAGGGCACAGAGACAGAGGGAGAGAGAGAATCCCAAGCAGGCTCTGTGCTGTTAGTGCAGAGCCCAATGCAGGGCTTGATTCCACAACTCTGGGATCGCGACCTGAGCCAAAATCGAGAGTTGGATGCTCAACTGACTGAGCCAGCCAGGTATCCCTGTTTTAAAAAATATTAGCTATTATTAGTTTAATCCCCTTATGTGCTTAAATTATACTAAAAATTATATTGTAACTTAAAAGGAAAACGTTTTATTTATTCACAGTAGGGGGAAAATAGAAATTATTTTCTTTAAAGGTTTACAGTTCCTATTTTTTCAGTTATTTTTACTATATTATCCCCAGAATATATATTCTTTGGTGGGAATGTAGAATCTGTGTCAGGGAGGGAGATAAAATTTTATTCAATCATAGGCCAGAGAAAGCAGCTGAGGCATACAAAATATGTATCCAGAAAGGCATAGGAGGTCTGGAAGAGGAGTAGGTAGGTAAAACTTTGAAAACATCTAGAGAGAATAAGAGATTAAGAATACTGGTGGAATAGAAGCTATTACATATTATATTTAGAAAATGGTTCTCTGGGGATGCCTAGGTGGCTCAGTTAAGTGTCTGACTCTTGATTTCAGCTCAGGTCATGATCTCATGGTTTGTGAGTTTGAGCCCCATGTCAGGACCTCTCAGGAGCCTGTTTTGGATTCTCTACCTCATTCTCTCTCTGTCCCTCCCCCAATTGCTCTCTCTCAAAAATAAATAAATATTTTTTAAAAATGGTACTCTGTGCTTGAATTTCTTTACCACAGTAATTAGACCATGGTCTGTGGAACGGTTATGTAACTTAAATTAAAAAAAAAAAAGTTAAGTTATGTAACTTAAATTTAAAAAAGGTGTCATAGTGCATTTCAGAACATCAAATGATAAAAGCAAAATGGTCTCTCTCCTAAAGCTAGTGGGCAAAAATTTTAAATGTTTATTAGTTTGTCAATAGGACATAGAGATTTAAGTAATCGGTACTTTCACTGATTAAAGCTCTATGTATTTCAAACAGTGCATGACTTCAGTACTTTTGTATTTTGCTTGCTCAACCTATGTTTATCCCGTCCCTTAAAATATCTTTGTTTCAGAGTTTATACTCCTGACAGGGGAAAAAAAAGAAAGAAACTTGTATTTTAGGTGCTACTTTATAAAATCTGAATTATCAGTTCAGCTTCAGAAAATCACACCTTATACTACAGTATTATGTAATTTATTTACTTTTGAATTTATTAAGAAAAAGGAAAGGGGAATGAATTTTATTGGGACTCACTTGGCATGTTCATGGACCAGTAAATAAACCGCTATAGCTAGATCAGTGTTCTCAAGAGGGATTTATAGGAGAGGAATTGGAAACAACGGGTAAGCCTCACTCTTTTGAGGGATTTTGCTATTAAGGAGAGCAGAGAAATGAGGCATTGGCTGGCTGTAAGTGATCCTGAGAGAAGGTATTTGTATGTGAGAAATTGCAGCATGTTTGTAGTCTAATCAGAATGATTTTGTAGAGGGAGGAGATGATGTTGTAAGAGAGAGGGAAAGAGTTGCTGGTGAAATATCTTCAAGTGGGCACCTGGTATTGGATCGAGTATGTTTATGGAAAAACTGGCCATTGGGTAGAGCTCAAGAGAGTGCATCTGTAGTAACTGTATGAAGCATAGGGAAGATGGGATCAGATATTAGGGTAGTTTGATCAAGAAAAACAAGGTGTAGGTAGATACTCTTCATTTTTGGAAAGGTTTAATAAAAGCACGAATAATTATCCTTTTAGCATAGTGGAAAGGGAATGAAATTGGAGGGAGATAAAATTTGAGTACAGATTCTAGCTCTGTGATTTACTAGCTGACGTGAACTTAGTTACAACATCCCTGTATATTCAGGGGTGCGGAAATAGAATTCATGTCAGGGTGGTTCAAATAAAAAGATGTTAATGAAGAATCTACTTTGAGAGAATGAGCAGGGTTAAAAGAATGGACAAGGGATGGTTCATCAGCTAGAGACTAGCAACTATGGAAAGCTGTTACCTGGGGCCGGAGGAACAGGGTGGAAATGGGGTTTTCAGAAGGGAAGACCATCTGGTAAGAGCTGTAGTCATGGGGGGGGGGGGACACAGTGGTGTGTAGGCAGCAGAAAAGAAATGACTTTGATTTCTCTTTCCTCTAAGACCCCAGTTCCCTGCTGGTGGCTCCCAGCCAAAGCAGAAACCAGCTGCATGGGAGTTCAGCCTCCCCAGGGTCGAGGGAAGGGCAAAGAAGGAATCTGGGAGGCAAATGCCGAAGTATTAGTATGATCACCAAGCCTCAACTTTTCCATATAGAAAATGGGGTTACTTGCAAAAAATTGTTGTGATTTCACATGGCTGCCAAGTGCCTACCACATTGTTAGGACATAATAGCATTTAGTAAATGATGATAATTCTAAGATGATGTGGCATCGTGGTTAAAAATCCTTGAAGCTTTGGAGTTAGAGTTGAATCTAGTTTCTGTCTCTGCCACTTACTAGTCATGTGACTTTGGGCAGGTTACTTAACCTTTCTTAGTCTCTGTTGTATCATCTGTAAAATGGGGAAAAAAGGCTTACCACAGAGAATTCTAGTAGAGATTAAAGGAGACAATATGTATTAAGTGCCTAACATAGTGCTGGGATATAGCATATAGTCTAAGTTACCCTGAACATAGTCATATTATTTGATTGCTTAGTAGGGGTAGTGAATGAGATTAGTTTCTAATACTAGGCCTCCCACCACCTGCCCTACACACACACACACACACACACACACACACACACACACACACACCTTTTCCTGCTTCTCAGGTTTTCTGACCGGGGCCCCTTCCATACAGGGGTCAAGGATACTGTCTTTGCACGTTGGACTTAGTACAGTTTTAGTTAGTTTAACGCTTTGGCTATCCATGTATGTTTTTGGCTTATGTTCAGTAAACTCAATCACAGAGTTAAATGGGTTCTTTATTGGGTCTGAGTTGGAAAGCATAGATACAGAAAAACTTGGGAATACTGAAATTCAGCCAATTTCATTAGGATAGATTTATACACAAAGCTCAAGTAAAATGTCACTAAGAAATAAAAGAATAAAAGGTATTGTAACAGTTAATTCACAGCTGTACCATAATACTTTTTAAATTTCACATAAGTACAACAGTAATGTAAGTTTGACTTAAGGCACATATATGTTTTTCTTTTTGGCTACATAGGGAACAATGAAATAAAACCTCATTGACGTAATTGACCCTGATAACATCTCCTGGTTGTACTGCTGATGTTTCACTGTGGTGTTGGTGGTTTTGCAGAGCTCTGTAAAGCATGTTGGACTTACAAACATATTCAAACAGAAACTTTTATCAGGATTCAGTTTTTTAACCACAAAGTTGAATTTATATGAAGGCATAGTCTTGGGTTCCTTTTATCAAATCAACTAAAAACATTTTTTAGTAGTATACACCTCATATGTTACTTAAATGCTGTTTTTAAAATTAGTTTTGAACAGATTACTGTAGTATGTGAAAATATATAACGATTTCTGATACTATATTATATTCGAGCTTATAAGGAAACAGATGAATATAATATTGGAAGCTCCTAAAACAGCACTTAAAATTTCATGCTTTCATTGTTAAACAATGTCTTATAGTAGAACCATATTTTGAAAACCTACCATACCCACTATAACTTCTTTTTTTACTGTGCTTCAAAATTTAGCTAATTTAAATTACTTATTTTTGTATTTAAATTATTTACATGATCTACTTTGGTATTGGTACTAAAGCTTAGTGCCTAAAATTTTGCTGACTTGGGAACAACATATATACAGGACATATACTGATACACTGTTTACTTGGAAGTAAGATTTTAAAAGAGCTATATATTATTACACAGGAGGAATGAATGTTTCTACCAATTCTTCTTAAATTTTAATATCTGTATACTATCCACTGTGTATTCATTATGCATGGTAGGCACCTACTAATTTTAGATAAATGTATAAAAATGATTCATATAATTTTTAAAAACTAAAAAATTCCAGTATTTTTATATCCGTGAACATTGTTTACAGTATTGAGGGTATCTCTGTTGCAGCTCACTGATGAGCAAATAGGTTGTGTGTTGTAGATTCATCCTATCTCCAACCAAATTCTTTTCTTTTCTCTATTTCTCTTAAATTAGAAAAATCCAAGCAAACCCATAATTGGTGATGGAAGGCAGCAAGTGTTTGTGGCTGTTGGTTTTGAATATTCAACATGGACCCTGCCAATTGTGAAGTGATTTCTCACTGCAGATTATTTTCAGGGTTGTGTCAGTTGCTAAGTTAATGGGCATTATCATACTTAAAAGCTTGAGAAATAGAAGTTCTATGTGACTCATCGAGAAAAACACCTGTTATATTTACTATTTGTGTTTATATTTTGTTTTTTAATATTTTTATATTTGCCTCATTTTCTTTCTTTTTTTTTTTTTTGCCTCATTTTCCATAGCACACTGAAAAGATGTATACTCTGTGCCCAAAAATTGAGTGCATTTACATTTATGCTATTTCTTTAACATTGAATTATGACCAGCATATGTGTTTTAATCACCAGCTGTTTTCTGTGAATAAAGTAGCGTATAAACTTGCAGTTAGGAGTTATTGTCATTGTTTAGCAAGACTTTTCCTTGCTGTACAGATAGCTAATTCTTTTAGAACTTATTCCAACACACATTTTTCAGTTTCTGACAGAGTTCACAAAATAATTATTACATAGGGGAAAATATCATCTTTTGTAGCATGGATTTTCAGTGATAAACACATAAAAATTTGTCTGTGACCCTTCCTCATGTGTATTGCATATACACCAAGAGCTGATTCAGACTTAGCACAAGAATGCATTTATCCAGCAATAAAGTAAAATATCTACTGTATGCAAATGTGACAGTAGTTACTTTTTAAAAATTTTTTTCTTAATGTTTTTTTATTTTTGAGAGACACAGCGTGCAAGTGGAGGAGGGGCAGAGAGAGGGGGAGACAGAATCCAAAGCAGGTTCCAGGCTCTGAGCTGTCATCACAGAGCCCAATGCAGGGCTCAAACCCATGAACTGTCCATGAGATCATGATTTGAGTTGATGTTGGACACTTAACTGACTGAGCCACACAGAGCCCCAGTAGTTACTTTTTTACATTATATGCCTTTTCAATTCTGTGATGTCCCAAGGTGTCATATGGCAAGTATATGTTGGAAATTAATTAATCTGTTCACTCTTCCAGCATAATGTTTATCATCTGTGTGGCTGGCTTTACAAATCTCTTGGCAATAGTTTATCTTTTTTTTAATATGCTTTTGCAGTGAGGAGCACAGAATCTGAATGGTGCCTCTATAGTTTTTGTCTCTTCTGTTTTAGGAACAAAAATCTTCAGTTTCATGTAAGAAAGCATTACGTGCTTCTTCTAGAAAAATTCTGTTGGTCTACCGAAAACATTTTTATGTTTTGTTTGTATAGGCCATGAAAGTTTCCACGGTTCCTATCATCATTATTTGATAAAGTTTCAAAGTGAAAACCATGCAGAAGAATATAGAGTGAAAGAATCACAAGTCTAAAAAATATAAGCTTTGGGGTGCCTAGGTATCTCAGTCGGTTAAGCGTCTGACTTTGACTCAGATCATGATCTATGGTTTGTGAGTTTGAGCCCTGCACCGGGCTCTCTGCTGTTGGCACAGAGCCTGCTTCAGATGCTGTCTCTCCTCTCTCTGCCCCTCCCTTGCTCACATGTGCTCCCTCTCCCTCCCTCTCTCTCAAAATAAATAACCATTAAAAAAATAATTTAAAAAAATTAGCTTTTATTTTTTTAAAGGTTATTTATTTTGAGAGAGAGAGAGAGCACGTGTGCATGCACATGTGTGCTTATGTGAGAGGCAGAGAGAGAGAGAGAGAGAGAGAGAGAGAGAGAGAGAGAGAGAGAATTCCTCGGCAAGCTCCATGCTGTCAGCTAGGCTCCATCCCAGGAACTGTGAGATCATGACCTGAGCCGAAATCAAGGGTTAGATGCTCAACCGACTGAGCCCCCAAAATTAGCTTTTCGATACTCACTATTGTATGCCCTAGTAATATTTTTGTTTTTATGGGTTTGTGTGGTATTCTCACACCCAGAGATTTGTATTGCATTTGCACTGGAGTCTTGTTCTTGATCTAGGCTTAGCATTTATTGAGTTATTTATGTTTGTTTTTATCAACACCTTAATTAAGCTTTAGGAAACCAACTTAGAACCATTTAGTTTTTTGATTGGAGATATAATGCAACAACAATGAAAAGAATGCAGATTTAACAGATGTAAAGAATATTTGAATGACCTAAAAATACTTTAGATAAGATGACTTGTAAAGAATAACACAGACCTAGGGCACCTGCCCAGCTTTGAAGAATATAATAGTTATTAAGATGAAAATGATGAGGGGCACCTGGGTGGTTCAGTTGGTTAAGCCTCTGACTTTGGCTCAGGTCGTGATCTCATGGCTCGTGAGTTTGAGCCTCATGTTGGGCTCTGTGCTGAAAGCACAGAGCCTGGACCCTGCTTCTAATGCTCTGTCTTCCTCTCTCTCTGTCCTTCCCCCACTTGTGCTGTGTCTCTGTCTCTTTCTTTCAAAAGTAAATAACCTTAAAAAAAGATGATATTTGTGTGGAAATCAGAATTAATCTTATATTTCACAATTCTGAAGTATTTATAAGCTAAATTGATTCCTTTTGCCCTCTAAATATTACAGACCACTGACAAATGACTAGTGATTCACAAATCATAATCTGATAAATAATAGTGAATACTCCATTACTATTTCCTAGTATTTCCTAAATTTTATCTAAGTCCTAATATTATAGAGACATTGAGCAATGTTTTCATTAAGGGTATTATTACTTTGAATCTGTCTCAATTTATCCTGTATTATTAGTGCTCCTACTGTCCTGGATCATTCCTGTCAAGTATAGACAAGTTCTAGAGCCTACCAGGTTAACAACAACAACAAAATATTATCCCCACATTCTTCTCCAACTGTTGTTCCATTTCATTCTTGCCATTTCCAGCGTGATTTCTCAAGAGTTTTTGCTAGTCACCGTCTTCACTTCTTTACCTATCTAAATTCTTAATTCTTTAATTGAAGCTTAACAAAAACTTGTAAAATTTGCATAAAGTATAGATGAAGAATAACAAACACCATCAATTCTCCTTTACCATTAATTTTGAACATTACCATTAAGTTTGAAGTGCCTTGTACACCACTCCCAGATCTAATTTCCTTCTCTTTTCCCTTAGATACAATCACCATACTGATTTTTTTTTTTTAATGTTTGTCTATTTTTGAGAGAGAGTGCAAGTGGGGAAGAAGAAGACAGAAGAAGACAGAGACAGAATAGACAGAGAGGGAGACAGAGGATCTGAAGCGGGTTCTGTGCTGACAGCAGAGGGTCTGATGCGGGGCTGGAACTCAGGAACCACTGAGCCCAAGTCAGACATTTAACTAACTGAGCCACCCAGGCTCCCCCATACTGCATTTCTTTATAGTTTCTCATGTATTTATATTCTTAAAAAGTATATTTCAGTATATTATACATGTGTGAAATTACTACTGTATGTATCCTTCTGTGACTTGTTTTTCTCATTCAATCGTATGTTTCTAGGATTTATATAGTATGGAGCTGTACTTCATTTATTGTCACCATTGTATTGCATTGTATGAATATACACAAATTTCTCCCTTTTGTTATGGACAGACATTTGGGTTGTATCTAGTTTTTTTGCTACTCCAAACAGTGCAGCTATGTGCATTTATTATTAAACCATATAGCAAAGTTCAAGCTTTGGAAAGGTTTTTCTCTGAATTTGTTGTGGATTGATGCTTTGGTAAAATTCACTAAAAATGTTTTGGCAATGTTTAATTGCTATAAAAATTATTAAACGTGTATCCTAATTTCTTTATTTTACTGTGGACCACACTTGGAACAAGACTGCTCTAATATATACCTAAGGAACTTCTGGATCATACATCTACTACTCGTGCAAAAATTTTGTTGTTTTTTTTTTTCAAAATCACTAATATGCTAGTTCAAATTAAATAGATGACTGTCTACCAGAAGTTTGTGACTTTCATGGTATCTGTTTTCAGTTCTTAACATGCAGGTTTTCAGACAAAAACCTACAAGAGCCGTTAGAATAGAGTAATGTTAGCACCGGCTTCTGAGTAGGCAGCCTGGAACGGTCTCTCAGATTCTAAGCAAGAAGCTAGACTACTTTATTTCAGTATTTCGCAACCTTATTTTCATTATCACTCCCCTAAGGAGCTGTTTTAAACACTGTTTTTCCTCCAGTCATCCTTTCCCCTCTATGAAATTTCAGTACAGTAGATTGACGGCCTGTTTATATACTGTGGCGTTTGGAGGGCTATACGCCCATTTTATTAGTTTTAAGATGTTTTTTGTTTCCCGGGAACAAATTTTCACCAGCTTGGGAGGGACAGGACAACCAGTAAGAATGCGTGACACGAATACAAATACGGTCCTGGCATTAGAGTACAAACATTGAAAAAGATAGTATTTATTTAATTATACAGGTGAATGAAGTGAGGCGCAAGGAAGACTCACTTAAGAAGCTGTCCTCCTGCAAATGTGCTTGATTTAGCAAGAGATCAGCTTCTACCTAGACTGATGAATTGGGAATATGAGGAATTGGCATGTGGAATAGGCACTGTTGGATGGCATGCTTGTAGAAGAAATGTATAAGTATGGATTGGATGACAGTACACTTGGGCAAGTTTGTAGATTTAGAATGCAAATTAGTGAATTGATGCATATCTCCTGGGTTATTTTGGATGACCCATCCTGTGGCTCTGGCCTCACACCTATCTATTCTGTACTTTTATTGGTGTACTTAAGAAAACATCAGATTTACAAACAATGAGCGGAATGGTGAATAGGCTAGTTGACATCCTCAATCTCAAAAGAAAACGTTGACTGGCTAAATTAACGACGGAAGTAAAGTATTGCAGGTTTTTATTGTATAAGAATAGCATGGACAAAATGGAGCCTAGCAGTACCAAGTATAAAAGAAACTCGGGGATTTAAGTTATGCTATTCTTAATGTGAGTGTTTTAGAAAGTTATTAACATCTTAAACTGCATTAATTAAATGTCTGTAGAACCTAGAATGTATCCTGGTCAAATCACAACCTGAAATAATTATATCAGGATTACACTTAGAGCCATATAAAGTACTGCATAAATTTAGTGAACCTACTAATATTCATGATGTGTTTTGCATATAGTTCTACTATAGCCATTTTGTGGTACTGGCCCATGAATTTTATAAGTGGTCATAGTATGTCTGCATTTTCTTTGGGAAGGAACAGGTTTCTTTTCACTGGCAAAGAGATGACCTTCTGCAAGGATGTTGACGAGGACATGGAGATAATGACAGCTGACAATGTTTTGAGTGATTAAGGAGGGGAGAATATTATATACAATAAGGTTCAGCAAGCTATAGCCCATCTATGAAATCGGACAGCCAGGGAGCCTGTTTTTGTGTGGCTCTTGAGCTAAGAATGTTTTTGCATTTTTAAAGGGTTGTAAAACAAAAAAAGATTATGTCATAGTGACCTTAGGTGGCTTGCAAAGCCTAAAATATTTACTATCTATCCCTTTACAGAAGAAAATCTGCCAACTCCTGATAAAATATTGGACCAATGATAGAGTGGATAATACTTTTAAGATCTTTTGCAACCTGGAGACAGAAGACCTAATGACAAAAAACAATACAAATAGTTCAGTATAGGGGCATCTGGCGGGCTCAGTTGGTAGAGTGTGTAACTCTTGATCTCTGGGTTGTGAGTTGGAGCCCCCCTACTGGGGACTTGGAAAAAACAGTAGTTCAGTATACGGAAATCAGGTGATTGTATTACAAGTTAGGTTTAAATTCAAGACTAGGGTTCAAAACTGTGTAGAAAATTGCAATTATAATCTATTTAGGCAAAAGGAGGAGACCTATTTGTCAACTAAATAATCTTAAAAGAAATTTAGGATTAACTATATAGGTAGCAGTTATAGCTTGCTAAATGAAAGCTAATTTTTTTTCTCCTGGAGCATAGGGACTATTGGAAGGGGAAGCAGCCAGAAAAGTCTGCTGGGAATTAAAAGGACAGGAAAAGATTAGTCTGGGACTAAGAAGTTATCATTGACAGCCTTTAAAGAGACAGGAAAACCATCATAATTATCTGCATATCAAAAGGGTTGAGTGTTGCTTTTTATAATCAAGTATGATTGGTACTTAATCTAACACCAAGGATAAGCTTTGAAAATGGATTTTGACAGGTGCCTTATTAGTAAGGAAATAGCACCACCCATTGACACTGGTTTAGGATGGTGAGTGATGATCCTTTGAAGACAGTGGGGACAGGGAGAGTTTCTGAGGATTTCTCATTTTTCTTGTATTTTTTAGTAAATAGGTGTTATTTTGATTTGTATTTTCCTTTTTGTGGTAATAGATATTTTGCTATTTAATATGGCTTATTATAGTGACTTTATTCTGACTATTCTTTTGATTTCTCAATCACAGAGTACATAATTTATGGAATATTCTGTCTAGAGATCATTTTTACTATTACCTTCCCAATTCCCCTCCCAAGCTGTAAGCTATTTTAGGTATCTGTAATTAAAGATGTTCCATTTTGTCTTTACATATGTTTGTTTGTTGGATTCTGGTTTGTAACTAAATTTTTTTTTTTTTTTCCAGATGATTCTTTGGGACTGGGACTTAAAGCAATGGTATAAACCTCATTATCAGGTAAATTTAAATAATATCACTAATAACTAATATCTGTAATGAAACTCTTTTAATAATGTTTATTTATTTTTGAGAAGAGAGAGATACAGAGCATGAGCAGGGGAGGGACAGAGAGAGAGAGGGAGACACAGAATCTGAAGCAGGCTCCAGACTCTAAGCTGCCAGCACAGAGCCCGATGCGGGGCTCAAACTCAAGAACAGCGAGATCATGACCTAAGCCAAAGTCGGACTCTCAACCAACTGAGCCACCCAGGTGCCCCGGAAACTTTTTTTAGTTGGAAGTATAGTTGACACATAATGTTAAAGTTTTAGGTGTACTTTAACGAAACTTTTTATTTTTACTTATTTTTATTTATTTTATTTTTGAAGGAGAGAGAGACAGAGCGTGAGCAGGGCAGGGGCAGAGAGAGAGGGAGACACAGAATCTGAAGCAGGCTCTGGGCTCTGAGCTGTCAGCATAGAGCATGACGTGGGGCTTGAACTCATGAACCGTGAAATCATGACTGGAACCGAAGTGGGATGCTTAACTGACTGAGTCACCCAGGCACCCCTGTAATGGAACTTTTGACATTTAAAAAATTTTTTTCATAAGATTTTCTTTAACTGAACTAAAATGAATGGAACTTTCATTTAGGTATTAGTTGTTTGTTTTTTTAATACATTTTAGTTGTAAGGAAGAAGAAGAAACCATACTTATATAAGTTTTAAAAATTTTTTTAATGTTTGTTTATTTTTGAGAGAGAGAGCATGAGCAGGGGAGGGCAGAGAGAGAAGGAGACACAGAATTCGAAGCAGACTCCAGGGTCTGAGCTGTCAGCACAGAGCCTGACGTGGGACTCAAACTTGTGAACCGTGAGATCATGACCTGAGCCAAAGTCAGACACTCAACTGACTGAGCCACCCAGGCGCCCCAAGAGTTATTTTTTAAATGTTACTCATATAATCTGGGCTCAGAATAAACTGCTAATTCCATATTAAGGATGAGATTTTCTTTTCTTATTGTGGGCAACTGATTGACAGCAGGGAAAAAAAAAAAAGATTTAAGGCCATATATGAGAAAAAGCAAAAACAAGTGGCACATGTTAGGGAAATGAAAACACTCTACTTAGAGTTTTTGATAAACTTCTAATTGAATTATACATACAGAAAAGTACACAGCCTGGGGTACCTAGGTGTCCTGGTCAGTCAAGCATCCTACTCTTCATCTTAGCTCAGGTGTTGATCTAGGGTTGTGTCGTGAGTTCAAGCCCCGAGCTGGACTCTGTGCTGGGCATGAAGTGTACTTAAAAAACATATATGTATATGTAAAAGAAAAGTGCATAGCTTGATGAAGTTTCACAAACTAAACATCCCATGTGACTAGGACAAACATCCAGAAGTAGAACTTTACCAGCATTCCAGAAGCCTTACTTATACACCATTAGGGGTTATTTCCTATATCCCCAAAGATAATGTCTATCTTGACTTTGAGTAGTTAGTTTTGCTTATTGGTGAACTTCATATATACAAATAAAATCCTGTAATATATACTTTTTCTTTAAAAAATTTTTTTTAATGTTTATTTATTTTTGAGAGAGAATGTGAGAGCGAGGGAGGGGGGTAGAGGATCTTAAGTAGACTCCATGCTGACAGAGAGCCTGATGCGGGGCTCTAATTCACAAACTGTGAGATTGTGACCTGAGCTGAAGTCAGACACAACTGACTGAGCCACCCAGGTGCCCCAATATGTACTTTTAAACTTTTTTGGTCACTTAAGTAATATCTATTCATAACAGAATTGAAAATACATATATAAGAGAAAGAAGAAAAGCCATTTCTAAACATCAAACAATAACTATGTTAATTATGTTAACTTTTGATGTATATCTTTACAGATCTTTTCCCATTTTTCCATTTTATTAAAATCTATGTATTCTATTCTACAAAAATTATAATATTATGGTTAATGTACTGTTTTGAAACCTGACGGTTTTCATGCTAATCGATAAATATCAGTAAATATCAAATCTCTGTTCTTTGTACTTACAGAAACATTATCCATTAATTAGATTTATTTAGTTAGTTGTCTCTATACCAATTTTTAAAAAATGAATATTCCTTTGAATGTGTTTTATTTTTAAAATGTGAATGGAATATCCACAACAGCCCATAAGAATGAAATATTTTCTGGATTTTGGTGAATAAAAATGTAATTATTGCAGTCAAATGAAATCAAGAAGGCCACTTATGACCTAAAAAGGGCTGGTTCTTTGACCTACACAAGGGCTTTCTCATCAGTCATATCCACCAAGATCCTCAGTTTCCAATTAATAGAGTATTTAAGTTATTAGTAAAATCTAAAGATAAATAAGCAGTCCTGGTTAAAAGCATGGGCTTGTAGTCATACAGACTGGTATGTGATATCAGATACCTGTCTCCCTCTTTCCTCCCTCTCTTCCTCTTCCTCTTCCTCATCCTCTAAAAAAAATTTTAGTGTAACATTCACATATAAAAATGTGTAAGTCATAAGTGTACAACTTGATGAATTCTCTCAAAGTGATTATATACATGTGATTGTCTTTCAGATGAAGAATTCAGCTCCCCGAAAGTCCCCCCTTATGTTCCCCTCCTGGTCATCAACTTCTCCCAAGCATTATATCAATGTTGATTTTTGTCATCACAACTTAGCTTTTCTGTCTTTGAATTTTATATGAGTGGAATTAATGATATGTATTTCTTGCTTCTTTCTTTCAAAATTATATTTAGGAGATTAATATTACTGCACATAGCAGTAATTCATTCATTTTCATTCTATTTAGTAGTTTATTGAATGAATATACTCCAATTTTTTCATCCTATAGTAGATGGACTTTTTCTTTTTAATTTTCATTTTTGGCTGTCAGGAAGCAAGAATTCCTCCTCAAAGGTCCTTCTAGCTGGGCTAAGAATCAAATTGGCATAAGACAGATGAACAGGAGAAAATCAAATTTAATAGGCATCTGTATAGGGAGTCCACATAGACATGGAAATTCCAAAAATAATCAGGCAAAATAAGGTATATATGTCATTCTCAACTAAGGAGAAAGGGGGCATGGGTCTGGAACTTCAGAGGAAAGGAATATAATTCACAGGGCGGTAAGTAGAGCATATGTTTGGTAATTAGATGTTTGCCCTGCTGTACAGATGGTTCACCCAGATAAAATTGATCTCTGCTGGGGGCTTCTGGCTGGCTTAGTCAGGTAGAGCATGTAACTCTTGATCTTGGGGTATAGGTTTGAGCCCACATTGGGTGTAAAGATTACCTAAAAATAAAACCTTAAAAAAGATGATCTCTGCTAATAACCCTTATTCTCGGACCCCCCCCACCCCCGCCAATATAGATTCTTCTGTTAGTTAAGGGAGGGGCAAAAGTTTCTCATGGGGCCACAGGATCTCAAGGGCCTTCAGCTTAAAAAATAATCCACATGCCAAAGTGGCACATTCTGGGAGGGCCTGTCCTGAACCCCTTCGTGGCTATTGCAAGTAATGCTGCTGGAACACTCTTGATGTCTTTTGTTGGGTATATATCTTAGAGTAGATTGCTAGCTCATCGAGTATGCATGCATATGCTGAGTTTCAGTAGATAGTACTCAGTAATTTTCCAAAGAGATTGTATCAGATTTTACCCAGCCATCAGCCTCTGATAGTTCCAGTTATTCCACATCGTTGTCAACACTTGGTAGTGTCTGTTTTAAATCATTATGGTAGCTGTGAAGCAGTATTATCATTGTGCTTTTAATAATTGCATTTCACTGATGACTCATCAGGTTGAGGATCTTATGTTAATTGGCTACCCAGATATTCTCTGGTCAGGTTTTTTCCTATTTTAATACTGATTATTTACCTTTTACTTGGTGACCAGTAGGATTTTTTGTGTATTTCAGACATGAATACATACACACACACACACACACACACACACACACACACACACACACACACACGTATATATGTGTGTATATATGTATATATGTGTATATACACACACATATGTATAGGTATGTATAGTATGTATGTTAAAGTGTATGTATTTAAAAATGTCTTCTCCCAGTCTGGTTTATCATGATGTCTTTTGATGAAAATATCACTAATGTTTTCTGTAGATGCCCTTTATCAGATTAAGGAAGTTCCATTCTAATCCTAATTTACTAAGGACATTTTTTCTCTTTTTAGTCATGAATGGGTGTAGAATTTTTATCAGATGGTTTTTCTGCATCTATTGAGATGATTCCTGGATTTTTTTCCATTTACTCTTTTAATGTGGTGAATCATATTGCTTAATTCTATGTCTGTGTTGAACCATCTCCATATTCCCAGAATAAAGCAAATTTGATAAAGATATTTAAAAAATGCATAAATGTATATAAAGTGTATATATGTATCACTGGATACTATTAATATTTTGTTTTAGAATTTTGTATCCACGTTTATGAGAGAGAATTGGCCCCACAATTCTTGTTTTCCATAATGTTCTTGTCATGTTTTTGGTATAAAGGTTACAGTAGCCTTATAAAGTGGTATATTCAGTCTCTGTTATCTAGAAAAGTTTGGTAAGATTGGTATTCTTTCTTCCTTTAATGTTTAAAAGAATGTTCTGGTGAAGCCATCTCAGTTTGGAGTTTTTTTTAATGAGCAAATTTTAAACTATGGATTCAGTTTCTTTAATAGTTTTAGGTCTATTCAGGTTTTCTATCTTTTTTTTAAATTTTCTTTACATTTATTTATTTCTGAGAAACAGAGTGAGACAAAATGTGAGTGGGGGAGGGGCAGAGAGAGAAGGAGACACAGAATCTGAAGCAGCCTCCAGGCTCTGAGCAAGCGGTCAGCACAGAACCTGATGCGGGGCTCGAACCCACAAACTGTGAGATCATGACCTGAGCTGAAGTCGGACGCTCAACCGGCTGAGCCACCCAGGTGCCCCTATCTTTTCTTATAACAGCTTAGTTACTGATGTGTTTTCTAGTAACTCCTTCTGTTGTTCC